GTAGTCGTGGTAGTTGTAGTGGTAGCGGTGGTGCTAGTAGTAGTAGTAGTAGTAGTAGTAGTAGTTGTTGTTGTTGTTGTTGTGGTAGTAGTGGTAGCATGGTAGTGGTAGTAGCAGTAGTAGTGGCTCCGGATTTCTCATCCCTAAGTCGAGGAAACAGATCGAACACTGCCTTCCACGGCCCAAACTCGTCGCAATTCCTCCTCTGTGCTGGACAGGAAGTGGCCAGAGTGGCGGAGTCGGCAAAGCACCGTACAAGAGCAATCCTCTTCTTCAGCCTGCCACAAATTTTTGGAGCACCAAACCCTAGGTGGACCTTCATGGTGGTCAAGTTCTGTTCATTTTGAATGGTCAACCAGGGTGTCCCAGTCAAAGCACCACCTGGGCGCTAGTTTCCTTGAGCTGCAGGTTGCAGTGAGGTTCCGCTGACAGACTGGCCCAAGGTTTGCGTGTCGGTCACGAGTCCAAAACAAGCATCCCAGGAGAAACAAAACAAAATAATATAATATGGTGATATACGAACAAGTACTAAACAATATATTTTTAACGTGCGTTCGATTATACATAATGCACAAATATTATGATGGTCAAGTTCCAATTGTTACAGTCCATCCTCTTGTGAAAGCTCTCAATTTGTTTGGAAGCAAGGGCTGACTTGAAGAACCATGAGCATCCCATCTTCTAGAATGCTGACTCCTTGCGCTTTTGCTCGGCATAAAGTGTGTGGCCCTTTGCCTGGGAGATATTCATGAATACCTCCCCTCCCAATGGGCATCGTTGTCGCTTCCTCGGTCGCGGGGTTTTTTGTTAACCCAGGCGGGGGCCCTTCCCGCGACCTCCACGACAACGATGGGGCTTCTTGGGTTTCGCCCTTCCCGTCAATTCGCTCAAGGTTGCCACGAAAGACACAGGCGCCACGTTTCGTCGCAAGAGTTGGCCCTTTGTTGCGCACACTGGTCAGAAGCTGTCGTGATCCAAACATCCACGACCCCATTCCAACAGGTTTGATGGTTTCTAATGTTTTCAACACTGAGACCAAGACCTTCCTAACAAGTGGCAAGCTACATCAAGCCAAGACAAAAGCAACTATGCGCCGGCCATTGCCTGCAGCAACGGCCACCGGTTTCAGATTTCAATTCCCTTTCAGTTTGCCTCGAACATTCGCACAAACCCATCGGCGGAAACGCGTGCAGCATACGATTGCCTCGTGGCAACCAGAGCGATGCCTTTCTGGGAAACAAGTACATGACAGAAAACAAGAAGTGCTAGTCTGCTGACATACGAGTGGCAGATTGGCGGCGAAGCCTCCAAAAAAGAAGCGCGGGGAAACAACAACTACAAGAACGCGCTGGTTTTGCTAGCCACCTTCACCAAGTCAGAACGAAGACTGACATCATCATGTGAACTGGTTTCTTTTGCGCGCCTCAAAATTCAACAAACACAAAAAACACGCCACAGTACAAGTGAAGCGATGGGCAAAGTCGTCACGCTCGAAAGTATATGTTCTCCTCTTCTCCTCTTCTTTCTTATCTTCTTCTCCTCTTCTTTTTTCTCTTCTTCTCCTCTTCTTTCTTCTCTTCTTCTCCTCTTCTTTCTTTTCTTCTTCTCTTTTATACTTGTTATTTTAATCTGTTTGCTTTTCTTCTTCTCCCCTTCTTTCTTTTTTCTTCTCCTCTTCTTTCTTCTGCGCAGCCAATTGCCCTTGAAGATCAAGGCCCCAGCCAATCAATCACCCTCTCAAGGGCGCAAACGCAAAGTCATCCAAGCTTGAAGATCGGCGCCCAATTTGAAACACTGATGTTGCACACAGCATGACGCATGACAGCAAAGTTCCTGATTTGGTTGGGTTTGGTGCTCAAGTGGAAAGTTTTTTTGCGCGCAGGACACTGCGGTCAGCTCGAAGACCGCAGCAGCCAATTGCCCCACTTGAAGATCGCAGCACTACACAAGCAATTGTCCAAACTTGAAGATCGTTGCACACGATCAATTGCCCAAACTTGAGCACCAAAGGACCCAACCAACACCCAACTTGCCGCAGCACTCAGCCAACCACCAAACTTGAAGACCGCGGCTCCAAACAGTCACCAAATTTGCAGATCGCAGCACACAACCAATTGTCCAAACTTGAAGATCGTAGCACACGATCAACTTCCAAATTGAACACCAAAGACCCAACCAATCACCCCCCCTTAGCAGAGACTCCAGGAGAATGTCGGAAGAGTCTCCACGCAGGGTTCACCCAACTTGCCTGACCATCCAAAGGAACAACCACAAAGGGCCCACGTTCCGAAGGAGAGGATGGCGCTGTGGCCCGTCCGCGGCTCCAAACCAATCACCAAATTTGCAGATCGCAGCACACAAACAATTGTCCAAACTTGAAGATCGTAGCACGCGATCAATTACCCAAGTTGAACACCAAAGGACCCAATTGCCAATCACCCAACTTGGACCGGAGCACTCAACCAATCCCCAAACTTGAAGACCGCGGCTCCAACCAATCACCAAAAATGCAGATCAAGGACACCAGTCACCCATCTCAAAGGCGCAAGCGCAAAACGCAGCATTCAGCCAATCATCTGAGCTTTGAGATCGGCACCCAAACTTGAAGACCACAATATGTCAATGACACATGCCATACACGCAGCACTCAGCCAAACTTGAAGACCGCGGCTCCAAACCTGTCACCAAATTTCAGATCGCAGCACAGCACACGATCAATTGCCCAAATTTGAAGACCAAAGGACCCAATTGCCAATCATCCAACTTGAGACCGGAGCGCTCAACCAATCCCCAAACTTGAAGACCGCAGCACCCAACCTCCCAGTTGAGGAGCGGCACCCAAACGTGACCACACTTGGACGCGCCCAACCAACCACCACGATGAGCACAGCATTCAACCAAGCACTGCACTTGAGCCAAGTTCCATGATTGGTTGGGCTACCTTCAAGTTTGGGCCATTGGTTGGGTTTGGTGGTTGGCTGTGCTGTGGTCTGGGGTCCTTTTTGGTGCTCAAGTTTGGGTTCTTGATTGTGTCCCACTCTTCTCTTTCCACTTTCTTGCTATTTCCACTTTTCTGATCTTTTCTGCAAGGTCTTTCCTCACCAATCTTCTCATCAGTGTTGCCCAAGACCCAACCAACCCAACTTGAAGAATCACAAAATTCAAAGACCACCAGTCCAGCAACCAACCAGCATTGGTGGCCATTCGATTCTTCAAGTCAAGTTTGGGGATTGGTTGAGTGCTCCGGTCTTCAAGCTGGGTCAAGTACATTCCATTGATTGGTTGTTGACTTGGTGGTGTGGTTGGAAATGAAGTGTTTGGATGATCGGTCCCTTCTCTTGTCGGGATTGGTTCCGTGACTCCTCTCCACGTCCTCCTCAGAACCCACATCATTACCTGGCTTTACGACAAAAACATGCTTTTCTTGTAGTGCATCAGCCCAACAGAAGAAAATGCGACAACCCGCTTCACGACGACAACACAGCTCCAGCAACCGCAGCCACAAAACAATGACACAAACAGGGTTTGATTTACACCTGGCGGGCCATGTGCGTCATACAAAACCAGCTGCGGTCGCAGCGGCACAAGTACATCTCAACGCTTCACCCGGCACATTCAACAGAGCAAAGGGTGTCCCTGACAGACCCTGTACATGCTATCCTATTCTACGGACCGCATCCTAAGCCACGATAGCGGCGTCGACATACCCGCAGCAAGGCCTCGCATTCCTTAAGCTCTCGCTTCAACGCGGACCTCTGCGCCTTCAGCCTCTCCACATCCACCATCCCTGCAGCTCGTTGGTTGCAGCTCCGGCGGTCAACTCCACGGTCCCACACAGCAGCAACACGCCCAGACCCAGTGCCAGGCAGGAGGAGGGTGGTGAGCAGGAGCGAGGTCAGGAGTGTTAGGAGAAGGAGTTGCTGCAGGGTCAGGGTCCCTGCGCTCAGCCGTTACAACAACATCAACCGCCGTGTTCACCTCACCAGCACATATCGCAGGCGGCAAGGTGCCCATTGCCCCCAAGAAATCAGGCATGAGAAAGCTAGGACCACAAATGGCCTCCAGAAAGAAACACGATTTGCAAATCTGTTGCACATACGAAACGAAGGCGTTGGGCGGCCCTCCTATGTCATGATGACTTAACATCTGCATAATTATACCATTTAAGGCTTATGTTATTAATTATCACAACTACCCTTGGACACGCGGCGCAAAAAATGAAAAGCGACCATGACTAAGACTTCAAAATCAGCGCGCGCGACTACCAGTGAGATTCATGTTCCGCACATCCAATTGAGATGTAAAGTGCACGTTTTGTAGTGTTGTGGACGATGAATCGCAAGGTTGACTCACTGCATGGGAGCCCCGACCGAAAGAGGTGACCGCCTCAGAAAAAATAGAAGTCGGAGTGAAGCATGCACTGCTTCTGAATCATCAAATGGGGCGCTTGAATCTGCAACCTGCCCATGCACGTCGCATGTTCTAAGCTTTTCTTCATGGATAGCGTTCCAAACGAACGGGGTCCATTTACCCGCAACCTTGGCCCTCCTTCTTGTATGCCTAGGGCCTGAAGGAGTGTCTGGATAGACGGGTGACGCAGTCGGGGTCAGTCCACACCTTGGAAAAGGAGGTGCAACTGGAGGTGCCACGTAAGCCATGAATGAGAGATTTCAAGAACAGGAGACTCGGAGCCAACTCTTGGACAAGTAGTAATTTATAGTGCATTTCAGAATCCATCTCCCGTTTTTCAGTGAACTTTGGGATTTTGTTGGAGCTGTTGGATTGCAGACTCCGAAAAAATCCAAACCTTCCCCCTCCGCCCTCATCTGCACTGAAAAATGCGCCGCAAAAGCGCCCCCCCCGAGGGTCCTGCAAGTTCTCCAGCAAGACTTGTGCTGCCAGGTGATCATTCCTGCTCAAGCAGTAAATCTGGGAGAACCCCAAACAGTGAACGAAACGATATTTGGCTTCCACTCAATGCCTCACTCTTGGTTCCATCCACTAGAAACACCTTGAACACAAGGACGTGTCTTCTTTTTGGAGCTGGCAAAATGCAGAAACAACACAAAATAGAAAACATCTTCGCTAGGACGCACCGAGATGCTCTTCCACGGCTTGAACCAACTCATGAATCTCTCCATGGCATAACGGCAGAATCACCACCTGCACAGAGCGGTGGCACGTCGTCTGACGTGAGGTTTCAGGCGCAAATTGTGTCCATGAGCAGTTTGGGGGATTTGTTGTTGCTCAACCGAACGTGTCTAACGTGTCCAAACCCTACACTCTCCTAGACTCTTTGGACGACTTAGTTGGGAGAGTTTCATTCTGAATCGACTTGCGGCTTAGAAGCCAGAAACCGGTCCTCCCACCGACGCACAGCCTCTCAACCGTCGCTCCAAGACCATCCGCCTGCACCTCATCGGGACGTTCCATGTCGACCACGCGGAGCCTCTGTCGCGGGATCTGCAACTGCTTGGAGAGCTGACAGCGGAGCGCCTCCGAGCGACACCGATGTTCCGAGAAACACGGGGACAATGCCGACATGTCCAGAAGTCCAACGAATTTGACCAGTTGGGTGAAGTAGGTGAAGTAAGCACAGTCTTCTTTAAGGCAAATAGGGTCCACTATAGTCACTATGGTCCACTTCTCTACAGATATCTCAAAATATCTCACGACTATGCATCTTTTTTTGATTGTCTTGGACTTCCAGGGTTGGTATTGTGTGGGACGTCCGAAACATCTGAGGTGCTGGTCAGCAAGTTACTACAGTCCGGCAGCCTGGGTAGTTGAAAAGGCTTCAATGTATAATACCGTATATTGGAGTGTCCGGGCACTAGTTTTCAAGTTGCATCAAGTTGCATATGGGATGTTCCCATCATTTCCCATATCAAACTCTCTGTAAACTGTCAACTCTGAGCACAGCGTGGCCGTGCGATGCCGTGCGTTCAAAAGCAATGTGCCAAAACAAACCCAAGAAACATCAGAAACGCACCTGTAGAAACGCACCTGTTCTCTGGCTCCTTCATTCGCCCCCCAAAGATGGCCACCAAACTGGTCGACTTCACCTAGGTCACTAAACATGATATTATATGATATTTATTGCTATTTTTTGATCCTTCCACCCTATGAATCTGGGCCCTCAAATGGAAAGGGTTTGCTTCAGGCCCGGACCGTTGTGAGCAACCCCTGCAAACTGGAGGGTCCAGGACCGGATTCTTAGGGAAGGTACCACCGAACCCTCCATGCCTGGCACCGAAACCCTCCATTCAACGTGTCGCCCATGGCCCATGGCGCATCACCTCCGCTTTCGGGTCGTTGAAACCATAAGAGAGGTTCTTCACAGGCACTTTGAACAGCCCGTCCCATATGTACCACTAACAGACCAGGGTCCTAGTTCTGGTCTCTCAACCTCTCTTGGTAGGGCTCATGACGGCTGATTTCCGCAGCGAAACGCGGTCCGTTCCACCCGGCCCCCTCCGCCTGACCGGACGCTCCGTCCGTCACGGTGGCCACCAAGTCGCCCGAGATGCCGAAGCAGCGCAGCTCCATGGCGGGTGGCGGGTGGCGGATGCCGCATGGAGTAAGGCCAGCAGGAAAGAAAACAAGAAAACAAGGTAGTAACGGAGTAAGTATAGCTATTATAGAGGAACTCTACGTACCTGCATAAAAAGAGTGTGACCAAAGTAACTTCACCCCCAAGCAAGCAGCTCACAGGGACGACTTGTGCTTCTCTAGGTGCTGGACACTCCATGCAGCACCTGTGAAACCAACTGAAGTACTTGCCATTGCGAAGATCTTTGGAGCATCAAATGGCGAAAGGGAGCACCAACCTGCCTAGGCAAATGGTTTCTCCAGAAACACATACATCTGCCAGGTTGTGAGCACCCGACTCTACAGGTCTCCGAAATGGTGGCTGAAATGGAGACTTAAAAGTGACAAGTGGCGACCTGTTCACCAGCCTTTCAGATTGGAGTGAGCCGATGTTTTTCGATTTTGGATCGCGCAAGATCGCGCTTGACCGCCCCCAGGTGATTCACAACATAAATACAAAAGAGTAGCTGAGCAGCTCTTCGGAGTAGCTTTTCGATGCTTTTTGGTGTGCTGAACACGTGCGCCGAAACCCACCGTCTTTGGGCGCTCCTAGGCCACCGCCCTGTAGCGATACCTGTCAAGATCGGCCGCGCTAGCAGCGGAGCGGCTGGCCCAAGAAGTGGAGCCCAAAAAGGAAAAAAACACCATGCCCTACTATAGTGGAAATGCCCTTTGTTCCTAGTAGCTTCTTGTTCCTAGTAGTAAGGCCAGGAGCCACTAGTAGCGATGCCCTGGTGGCTAGTATTTGCCCTATTCACATGCATTGCTATCCCTTTTCTGACCGGTTTCCATCGCTTTCTATGTTATCATGTTTCCACGACTTCACGGTGTTTGTTTCACCGTGCACCAAGTCAACACCTTGTTTGTTTGTTGGTCCTGGACTGTCACATTACCCAATGCCAAGTCAACAAACGTATGAATCCATATGGAGCCACCCTTTGAAGTATGGTGATGCGTTCGACACTGAATTGTGTAAGGTGGTCTTGGAGGGTCCAGTCGTCTGAGAAATGTGGATACATGACCTCTATGACCGGGACAAAGGACGACAAACATGCAAAAAAAAGACATCCAAGGCGTGAACAACTCCTCCGAAGAGTCGTGAACAAGCCGAAAACAGGGGCCTGAGGGGTGTTGATTGCGGCTGACTTACTGCATTGAGTTTCTAAGCTTGGCATATATAACAGCCGTTAACATCTGGTCATTCATGTAAAGGATATCCCTGGATGCTCAGCTGCTTGGCCAATTCACGGCCAACTGTCCGAAGCTTGCGGGGGCCCCCTCAGTGAACTCTAACTGTCCCAACAAATCACTTGCAGACTTGCAGACTCCGCGCTCTCTCAGGCGGCCGTTCAATGCCTTCTCATGCCTTCCAGTTGGGCGTGACCAGGTGACCAGTCACTGTCCTTACCGCTCGGCTCGCCCAGGCTCCATCCCGTCCAAGTGGCGGTTCGCCCACGGGCCTCACCGAGGCCAGGGCGGCCCGCGTGGCGTGGAACAGGGTCCGGTCCGAAGGACAGGAGTTGGGGGACGAGGGACAGGAGTTCGGTCCACATCCCTACCTATCATCCTAGTAAGATCCAGAACGGCAGATCCCTACCTATTATATAAGATCCCTACCTATCTGTCAAGATCCCTACCTATTACATAAGGGATTCTGAAGAAGATCCTAAGGGGGTAGGGATTCTGTCAAGTGGGGCCGCAGAAGATCCTCACTGAAGGTGCAGTCCGGTTTGGGCCGGTGGTGCCCGGTGGAGTCCTATGGCCGAGTCCTATGAATCGAGAGATGTGGAGAGTGCCAGGGTGGCTGTGGCATCTTCAATCCAAAAGGCTTGTAAAACTTCCAGCAATCCGGTGCCGCGCGCACGTGAAAGTAGCTGGCCACAATGTAGCACGCGCCTCACAGGCCACGACAGATCAGTTGTTTGGCAGCACAGGCTCTCTTGGACTTAGACTTTGACTTCACACGGCACACGGAAGTGGATGGAAATACGTTTCTCTTGGAAGACTACTTTCCTTTGCGAACAGTGAATTTTCCACTGCTATGTTGGTGAGTGGGAGTGTATATATCTATATATACATTTATTGGATCCCGCTCTAACTCCATGCCTTTTGGCGCCGGTAAGAGGGTCAAAGACTGCGCCATCTGAGGTCACCACTGGTCACAGGGATTCAGAAGAAGGGGGGAGGAAGGGGTCAGGCACAATGCTTCCGATGGGAGCAACACATCTTAGAAACTTAAGCCTTATCACTGGGATTCATGGGCCAAGTGACCGGCGTTGAGATCTCAGCATTAGGTCACATTTAGGCCCGCAAGATGTCACTTGGAGACTCAAAGGAGGTCACTTTGAAGGTCCTGGTAAAATTGAAGTCGGTTTGGTGGTCACACCGTGGTACAGTGGCTGAAGCAGGTGGATGGCGCAAATCTGGGAAGGCTTTGCCGATGACAATCAATGCATTGGCGATTCGGCATCCACTCTGAAAATGGCTCTGAACAAACCTAACATATAACTCTTTTGACCCTAAAGGGGGCAGCTCCCGAGGATTAGGTTGTATTGTAGCATCCTCCTTTCACTGTCACCCTCTCTTGCAGCAAGGGGTCCTAACAAAGCTTGTATGGCTGTGTAAAGTTGAAGACCCCAACCATGCCCTTCTGGATGCTGTATATATAAATATATATATTGTATGGTAATTTGTGCAAATTACACATATATACTGTAAATACATTGATCACTGCAACCAAAACATGGAATGCTTTGTGTGTGAGATCGTCTCCCCCCCCTGTCCTCTCCAAACACAAAAAACAGGGGTATAACATGGTATTAGTATAAATCATAAATGCTGATTCTTAAACCCATCAGGTGAAAGCAATCTGTCTTGGACCAGGTTCCGTAGTTGTTTAAGTCTGAATCCCGCGGCAGTGACACATCCAGCCCAGAAAAGTGAGCTACAGTCAAGACCTCATTGAGATTAGGGAATATACAGCAGAATATGAATACATCGGAATATTGTTTTTTTGATGATTTTTGTGTCACACACACACCAAATCCAGGTGTTCAACCAGTTGAAAGCATGTTGAAACAGCCATGCATCGCGAATGTCACTATGTCCCTTTCTCTCTTTCTTCCTTCCTGCCTTCCTTCCGTCCCTTCGTCGGTCTTTCCTTCCTTCCTTCCTTCCCTTTTCTTGTCTCATGCCATTGCTATGTTCAAAGCCAAGGGCATTTGGTTTCCCCGTGGCAATTGTCCACCCGTCTTAATCTTGCCATCCACCACAACACCGTCCAACAAAACAAAGATCCAGTCTTCTCATCTCCACGAGGTGAAGCCACGAGTGTTTCCAACCCTGGAGCTCCGGCGCTCCCTGTGCGCCTCGTATCACACGGATTGCCCGGGCTTGGCAGAAAAGGATGCAGCTTACCAGGAGAATTGCCAAGCACATCCTGCGGCAAAATCCCCAGGTCCGCTGCCCGGCTCCGGTTTAAACAGTGCATGGATGGCACTTTCTCTTGTGTCCACGGGATTTAGATGGGATTGTATTTGTATATGCACTTTTGTTTGTGCCTCACCAGGAAGCCCTGCAAAATGGAGGATCTCCTGCAAGCAACAAGTATTGAAGCACTTAAACAATATAAGCACCTGAGCAGCTGCAAAACGAAAGCCAGCATTTTTTGTCCACGAGCACGTTGTTGGCCAAAGGCAGAATGCAGCATCGCACACGGCGTGCTTCCGTGCACACCTACACACCACCTACTTTCGAGTGTGCTTTCTCAGGCCACCCCCCCCAACTCCCCTCTCTCGCAGGCCACCCCCCTTTTTTCTCAGTGCGATACCTGGCAACAGAATTGTAGCTACCCTGGGTCCGTATAAATGCTATGTTGCTATACCTCTAAGACTCTTACAGACTTATATAAGTTCAAAGCACGAATGAGACTTCAAAGCTGTGGATTGCTGTGCGTGTGTAAAGGTTATCGAGCGGTTGACGGAAAGGGAACTTGAAGTACTATACCGACTATACCTGGTAACTGAATTGTAGCTACCCTGGGTATCTATGCCTGGTAAGGCGCCAGCTACACCTTACCACTCAGATGATACAAATGATGCAAATTGCATTTCTTGCATCACCACACCCTCAAAAATCACAAAAACTCAACCTCAAAAACCTTACTTCCGCGCACCCCTCTCCCCCACCTAATTTCGAGTTTAAGTAGTACGTTTGCGGGCCACCCCCCGCAGACCCCCTACTTACTCACTTCGTTCGCCAAACACAACTCAGCTGGCGCCTTCTACGAAGGCTGGCTTTCGTAATATTCCGAAATCCCCATGGATTCCCGGCAAGGCTTATACGCCAAAGGTAAGCATCCAAAATCACGATACTGGAAGTCCAAAAAACCAGTCTCGTGGTTATCGCGACCCCACTCTTCAGTTCAATCAGGAAACATGTGCTGATCTCAGGAGTTGCCAGCTGCCAAAATCATTTACTGCTCTTGATCCTGTCAAGAAAACATAAGAAAACCAAACTTGGGCAAAAGAAGGTGCAAATTACACTCCCTGGAACTAACATGGAAGCAGAAAACCCTCTGTTTGTAGAGGAAATGGCTTCCAAGGGACCATTTTCCACTCCCATGTTATTTCCAGGGAGTGTAGGCATTGGGATGTGGATGTCTGATCCTCAAGTGACGCTCCAACAATTTCGCTCAGCCAACCAACCAAAACCCTCCAAAGTGGGTTTCTGGCTACATCTGGCCACAACATACCACCCAAGAATCCAGATTCATCGAGAATTGCTGCAAGAAAGTCGTGACTTCAGAATCTGGTAGACGTCATCTGAAATCGACGTGTTCTCAGATCATCTGAAACTGGTCAACCCCATGTCAAACCCCAGTTCTGAGAGCGACGGGGGACGTGAGGGACGTGGGACGTGGAACGCCCCCCCCCCGTCTCGCACATCGATCGTTTTTTCCTGAACTTCAGCAGGATCTGCTCGCCAAAATAGCACCAGCTGTTGGGATACCATAG